TCATTCATTCATTCATTCAACAGCTTGTCTGGTAATTCTTAGCCAAACCCCTTTCCCCTTTTCAAACTGTCTCTCTGCTGCATCTCATTGCAGGTAAAGCCTCCCAGCAGTGTCACTCAGACACCTATGGCGCAGCAGACCATGGTGCTCAGGGCTCGCACAGCCTTGGACACAAGAGGGCACCACTCACTGGCCACAAACCTCAGACAGACAAGGTTGGAACTCTTCCCAGACGAAGAGACACCAACGCAGACGGTAAGTTCGGCCTTGACATCGCTCATCAAAGAATCAACCTTTTATAGTGAAGTCACTTTGAAGGGGCCTCCGTGTCATTACGTCTCATTTGCACCCCATTTGCCCAAACACCCTCATCGTCTTGCCTCAGCAGCCCACACACCGGCCATCAAGTCCCTGCATGGCATGGGCTCCCACATGCACAGCTCGTGGGCAGCTGCGGCCTCGGACCCCTCTGAGGAGTGCATGGTGACCGTGTCGACGCTGGAGCGGCAGCATATGGCGTCCTGGAGCGGCACGGCGTCATCCGGCAGGGCCACCCTGGGCAGGGGTTCCCACAAGAGACCTGGCACAGACCCCTCCCACAACGGGCATCCTTCCACAAACGGCACAGAGAAACGGGAACACTGTAAGAGCTGTGAGGACGCGTCAGTGTGAGAGGCATGACGGATGTATCTAATAAAGCAAACACAGGATTTATGGAGAGCAATAACACAACACACACAGAGGTTTTTTACTAAATCATTTGTTTACCATTTCATTTACTCTCTAAATAAACCTGATTCGTACACAAGTTTATTTTCCAAATCCTTGCCTCTGAGTTCTGCGTAAACACAGAAAATGGTATATTATTAATAGGCACATTATTTAAATGAATTCCGCAGCCGAACCGTAGAAACATTTAAAAAAAAGAAACGTACTTCGTATTATAATGGCCAGTTCTGAGAAATAGACGGAGTTGATAGGGGGAAATAAATTAAGTTGTACCACTTGAAAAAAAAGTGAGAACCAGAGTGGAAAAGAAAGGTGTGATTATTATAATTAAATGTAGTATAATTCCATTACAAGTTCTGCTTTTGAACTATTTAGGTTGAATTTAGTAGTTTCTTGCTTGAATCTTGTGAGTTTTTTTTAAGTTTAATTCCACACTAACTCTAATTAACTGTTCTAGTATTTGCAGCTACTTTCTTACTTTTGGTGATTGAATAACATCTTGATACATCCTGGGAGGGTTAAATTAAATTGCAGATATTGAGAGTGACGTATTCACTATCATCCAACTTTGACACCTGTTGTTTTTTTTCGTGTGTCTTCCCTGCTTGTCTCTCAGAGTCGATGTGAAGCGTCATCCCCCTGCACTTGCTGCCTGCCTGTCCCAGGACACCTTGTTTATAAGCGCTATGAGATTTTTTTTTTTTTCTCTGCGACTGACACAGAATGATGTTCGGAAGTTCGGAGACGAGACAGAATGAAGACGAGGAAAGCAAAAATTGTGCGAGATAAAAGAAATGCAGAGCTGTAAATGTCATGTACAGACACAGACACCACTCTCACAGTGTTATTTTCATCCCCCTCTTCTAAAGAGTTAAACAGTATGTTATATGTCCGCTTCTGTTTTCTGTCACATGGTGTTACAACCGTTCACACAGCGGAGACGAAGAAGAAGAAAACACACACAAACGAAATGACTAATTAAAATGGAAAAAGGACTTGCATAATTTGTAAATATATTTTTTAAATGTTTTCTCTCTTTTCTTTTGCTTTGCTATGCAAGCCAAACCCAATGTTGTCTCTTTTGTGATTTATTACTGTGAATCATTTTTCATTAATGCTCAAACTGTTAGCTTATTTTGATGAAGCTACTGTATTGTTGTACTTTGCACAGAGCGTTTTTGGTGAAAATAAGCACAAACTCATTGTCAGCTGAGCTGAGGAGGAGAATCATAATGGCAACGAGGGACGTCTATGTTAAACAGAACATAAACAGAAGATATATACTTGGCTGTGCTGTAATTGTTTTGAGAAATACTCATATATTGAGAGTTACAAGGAGGAAAAAAAAGAAAAAAAACACAGGTAAATACTTGGAACTAATATGCCAAAATAACTAACTGTGTTTCATACTTTTTGCTGGGAATCCTATTATGCATTATACTAACAATGGTTCTCAGCAGATGGTTACCAGAACGTTGTTTTTTTTTTTTATGGTAACAAAGCAACACATCAGTTGTGATATCCAAAGCAAAGACGTAGGAAAATAGGTACTTCTCTGCCATTCCCAAAAAGAATATGTTAATAAATAATATATATTTGTTTCTTTTTCCAGTTGCATCCAGTGACATGATGATAGTGCAATATTCAAAAGACAGTAAAAGGAAATGAGATGAAAGAGACTCGCTTGAAGTCACAGGCCACGCATTAGCTTGGTGCAGCAGATGCATTCAAATGTCCTGACGTCACCTGCAGACAAACAGGACGCGAGATTTACTGACGACTATACGTGATGTTAAACATCAAAGAAATTCTACTAATTTGTTGTTGTGTTCTGTGCCGCACTGCTGAACGGTTATGGATTTACACTATCACGTTACAAAAGGTGTATAGACTTGAACGACTGCCAAATTTAAACATGTTTTTTTTTTTTCTTTTTTGCAAAGTTTTAAAAAAAGCAGCCAATTAGCATTTTCTGCCAATGAGATTCAGAATGCGATGTTCTCTTACACTTGTTTGAATGGTTCTGTTCTGATCGTTGTTCTGGTTCTGGCTCTCCCTTTGAAGAATCTTTACATGCCAGATTGGTTTGCCCTCAGGAATACACAGCCACATACAGTAGGGCCATTTTTCAATCCTTTGATGCAAAATAAAAAAAATGTGTATGTGAAAATGAACCAGATCTCCTTTCACAATGCCTCGAGTCTGAAACGCTGTGTGTATTTGGAATTTTTCGGATCGATTTTAGATTTGACAGTGATTTAAATTACAGTATGGAGCTTTACCTCCATTTACAGACGGTTACAAAATAGTTTTCTATACCTGCGGCCAACTCTTAGAAAGCTTGTTGGAAGTCTTAGCCACCAGAAATATGTTCTTAAGACAACATGAAGTGAAGAATTGTGCTCACATCAATGCAAAGACATGAAGAATTATTCTGCTGTGTGGGTTTGACTTTATTTATTTTGACTAATGTCCCTGCTTTAGTTGCATTTTATACGTCTCCACACAGTCGTAGTGCGTAGGCCGTGCTTTATGTTTGGTATTGCACACCCAAGCAAGAATGGTGCAAGAACCGACTGGCTTAAATATATGGCGGTGTCTTAAAAAAATCACTTAATTGTCACCTAAACATTCTCGGACATGGACTCTTCTGCAGAGTTTCAGATTTATTCCATCGCGCTTATCTCTGGGCCACATGACAGCTCAATGTTACCTGAAGATAACATTGTTATTGCCGGTACAGATCAGCACTGTTGGGGATAGCTGCAGGCGCCGGTGCAATAGGTTTTACGCACAGAGTGGGACAGCCTGTCAATATTGGGATCTCCGAATGAATGGACAGGGATTAGGACGGTGTGCAGATAATGTGCAGACTGGGGGCACAATGTGCAACCCACTGTAAAAAAAAAATAAAACTTTATATCCAACCACTTCCAAAAGTGCCACGAGGACAAACAATTTAGCACAGCGTAATCAATTCTATATCACTTTGAGTCAGTCCGGCTCACACCCGGTGCAGACGCCGGCCCTCCTCCGCCCCACCTAATTTACCCAGCTTGTAGTACATGTGAATTTAATGGAAGAACAGAAACACATAGGCCAGCCCACAGAGCCCAATTACAGAGGCCTGCCTGCCTTCATATAGCTACACTTCTGTCTTATAAGGATTTAGCTTAATGTACTGCTTTCGGAAATGGTGTGCTGACTTTGTAGGTTGTTGTGGTTTTGGTTGGATGAAAAATCAGTTTACTGTAACACATTTATTGCTGAGGTACTTTTTCAGCCCTCGGGGGACCAATTTGGCCTCAGACTGCTTCACTTCTTCAGACATTGCTGCAAACAACTGACAAAGACACTTGTAATGGAGGTCCTTTTTTTTTTCTTTTTTCTATGAAAAGCAATTGTAGTAATAATGACAATAAAGCAACTAAAGCAGCTTGCTTTTTTTTGCAGGTAAATTATTCATACAGAACATTACAAGCATAAATTTTTGATTGCAGGCATTATTTGAATGTTGTAATAACAAGTGGAGGGAGTGAACAGATTACACAGGCTGGGTTTGTTTATTAGACGAGCCATTTTTTTAGTGATTATTTGGGTTAAAATTAAAAGAGAGCTGTTGATGGTTTAGAGGTTTGGACTGTACGATAGTGAGTAGGAGTTTATTTGTGTTCGTTTTATGTGTTTTCCTTATTTTCTTCCAGCCTTTATGTAAAATTCATGCTGCATCTTCATACTGAACGCCCGAGGCGAACGAGGTCGGGAGCAGGCTTGCTGTTCTGTGGCTGACCCCGACCTTTTACCCCTTTGTAAGTGAAGTGAAAAGACAGTTTCACCTTTAAGAATTTCCCAGGTTGAGTGTTTTATTGTACTTCATATTCACAACAACAACAACACAGGCTTTGATTATTTCCTGAAAATTTCTACGAGAAAAATCTAATTGGCAAATTCACAGAGTTCTTCCAAAAAGAAATTTAAGACCCACTTTAAGCTCAGTGTTTTATCCTCGTGCGAGTGCATCTGCCACCATGTAACAGCCAAAATTAAAGTCATTTGGACTCAATTTGTCAGCGTGCCCTGTAAAAGCCTCATTGTGGATGCAGAAATAAAAGAATACTTTGTGGGTAAGTTGTCTGCATGAAAGGAAGTGAAAAACGATGACGGGCTGTTTGCACGAAATGGGCAGTTGTTGTCAGTATGCATATTTATTTAAGATATAACAACAAATAGAACAATAGCAGCATACTTTACATACAGGATATAAATATGGGCAGTGCTTCCACTTCAGTGCAGAGCTAGTTTTAGACACAGACTGATACATTTGCAAAAAATGTGATTACAGAGCTCCACTATAGAATTTGAAACCCCTTCAACATTATGAATTCCATACTATTTTACAGTACGAGGCTTTGGTAAGTGCTCTTCATTCATCAAACTGCATTTCAACTCTTTATTTTAAGGGAGTAAGAAAAGAAACTTCACCGTCTTTTTTTTAGATCCCATTTCAGCATGAGCTGCGTCATTTCATGAAATTTTCCCAACATGTGGTGGACAACCTTTTCAGAATGATTATGTGTAACCTTGCTTGGAAAAGGCTGATTTGTGACTCATGACATTTGGCTAATTGCAACATTCAAACAGTGTGGTGGTTTGCATGCGCCCCACCTGAGACCGCGACTCCCGCCCCGTGCCTCGGCTGCCCTGAGGGTAAAGCTAAAGGCCAGTGGTCTCCTGGTCTCCCTCGGTGACCAATTTATTTTCATCTTGCTCACCCTGATGCTTCGTCTGCTCCCTTTTTGTGTTGCCACTTCACATTGTGCCACTGACATGAAGCAGCGAAAGTCTCTCCTGGAGGTTTCTGATAGAGAGCGTTTAAGTAAATACAGATGCACGCCAGTATTGATATGGATCTTTGTCCATACTTTCTCTGACTCACAGCCTCC